TTCAACTTCATTAATAAATGTAAGACTCTTCAGATTTTTATTTCTTCTTGGGTCTCTTGGATCTATGGTGATATTTCCTCTTTTATTCTTGATACTGATAATTTGTTTTCTCTTTCTCTTTTTTCTTTATAAGCCAGGTAGAGATTTGTCAATATAATTGATCTTTTCAAAGAACCAACATTTGGTTTTATTGATATCCTCTGTGCTTCTTTATTTTGTATTTTTTGGTTTCTGTTATATTTTATTTCTTTTTTCTGCTGACTTTAGGTTTAATTTCCTCTTCTTTTCCTAGCCTCTGTGATGGAAGCTTACATCATTGACTTTAAACCTTTATTCTTTTCTAATAAAAGTATATAGAGCTATAAAGTTTCCCCTAAGCAATGCTTTAGTTGCCTCCCAAAGCATGTTTAGAAATGTCTTAATTATCATTTCATTAAAAATATTTTCTAATTTAGCTTGCTAGCTTACTTTGACCTTGATTAATTTGCAGTGTGTTGCTTAACTTTCAAGTATTTGGAGATTTTCCAGATATCTTTTTGTTACTGGTTTCTATTTTAATTCTATTGTGTTTATAGATTATTCTCTGTATAATTTAATTTCTTCCAATTTTTTTGAAACTTTTTATGGCCTAATAAATGTTCTGTCTTAGTAAATGTTCCATTGACAAGTGAAAAGGTATATATTTTAGAGTTGATGGTTGCAGTGTTCTATAAATAACCAATAAGGACAATTTAGTTGATCCTGCGATTCAGATTTTCTAGATAATTTCTAAATTTTTGTCTGCTTTTGGTACCAAATACTGATACAGTGGTGTTGAGCTCCCTTTATTATTTTATATTCATCTACTTGTCCCTTTAATTCTTTAGTTTTTGCTTCATATATTGTGAAGTTTTCCAATTTGGTAAATATATATTTAGTATTGCTTTTTCTTCTTGATGAATTGACCATGCTATCATTTAAAAAAAAAAAAAGTCATTTATCTATAATACTCCTTGCCCTGGAGTGTATTTTGTCTGATAATAATACAGACATTCAGCTTTCTTATAAGTAGTGTTGGTATAATATGTCTTCCCAACTTTAATATATCATGTTTTTTAATTTAAAGGGCATCTAAAGATATATAGCATATGGTTGCATCTTGCTTTGTTTTTAATTCAGTCTGAGAATTTCTGCCATTGATTGGTGTTTTTAGCCCATTTACATGATTACTGATGTTTTAAAATTTTATCTATGATTTTGATATTTTTGTCTACTATGAATTACCATGTCTTTCACGTAAGAACCTTACAAAAGTTTATTTCCATTTGTCCTTCCTGTGTGCTGTTTTTTCTATGCATTTTATTTTTACATTGTTTTTCCTTTGAGTCAATTATTTTAAGTAAATTAAGAAACAAGAGCAAAGTTATTTTATATTTACCCATACATTTACAATTTCTTATACCCTTGTACATGTGTTATGTGTGTTGTGTGTGTATGTATCTGTGTATTCATCTGGTATCATTTCTCTTCAGCCTGAAGAACTTTACTGTTTTTTGTTTTGTTTTGTTTTTGAGTATAGTTGACACACAGTGTTACTTTAATTTCAGGTGTACAACATAGTGATTCAATAAGTTTATACATTATGCTGTGTTCACTACAAGTGTAGCTGCCATCTGTCCCCATGCGTTGCTATTACAATATCAATGACTATAATCCTTATACTGTGGCTTTTATCCCCATGACTTATGCATTCATAACTGAAACCCCTTCACCCATTTTGCCTAACCCTCCACCCCACTCTCCTTTGGCAACCACTGGTTTGTTCTCTGTATTTATAGGTCTGATTCTGCTTTTTGTTTGTTCTTTTTTTTCCCCATATATAAGTGGAATAATATGGTATTTGTCTTTCTCAGTCTGACCTATTTCACTTAGCATAATACCCTCTAGGTCCATCCATGTTGTTACAAATGGCATTACCCCATCCTTTTTTATGGCTGTATAATACTCATTGTGTGTGCATATATATATATATGTATACCACATCTTCCTTACCCATTCATCTGCGGATGGACACTTAGGTTGCTTCCATATCTTGGCTACTATAAATAATGCTACAATAAACGTAGGGGTGCATGTATCTTTCTGAATTAGTGTTTGTTTTCATTTTCTTTGGGTAAATACCTAATAGTGGAATTAGTGGATCATATGGTATTTCTATTTTTAATTTTTTTAGGAATCTCCGTACTGTTTTCCACAGTAGATGTACCAGTTTACATTCCCACCAACAGTGTACAAGGGTTTCTTTTCCTCCACATTTTCGCTAACACTTGTTACTTATCTTTTTTATTTTAGCCATTCTGATAGGTGTAAAGTGATAGCTCGCCTTTGATATTTGCCCAAGAATGTTCAGAGCTCTTTATTCATGAAAGTCAAAGTCTGAAAAAAAGAAACACAAATGTCCCAAAAAAATAAATTTCAGGATATATGTTGAATAAACAGATTTCAACATATTTACATAATGGAATACTACTCGTAAAAAAAAGCACGATTGATACATGCTACAATATGGAATGAATCTCAAAACATTGTGTTAAGTGAAATAAAAAACACAAAAGGTACATATTGTGTGATTCCATTTATATGATGTTCTAGGTAAAGCTAAACTAACAGTGAAAGAGATCAGAACAGTGGCTGGCTTAGGGAAGAAGGATGTGCAGGAATTGGCTAGAAGAGAGCATGAGGGAACTTCTAGATGATGGAAATATTCCATATCTTAGAGGGGTCTGGGTTATACAGCTTGTATGCATTTGTCAAAATTGATTAAACTGTACATTTAAGATCTTTATATTTCTTTGAATGTAAGGTATACCTCAATAAAATATGATATTACTAATTAAAAAATCAATCTTATAATACCCTGTTATGATAGTTGCTAGGAGGTAGGTCTATTTCATGGCTCTAGAAATATATAAAGCCAAAATATTTTATTGAAACTACTTAAATTTTGCAAACTCAGCCAGTGTAACCAACACTGCAGCACTGAAGTCTTACATTATTTAAACTTGGGAGACTAAAATACAATTAATAATAAAATATAGGATCACCATAATTGTATTCAGGTACTGACACAGAAAGAACTTCCTGGTCACTACCCAAATGAATTTAATCTGATTGTGTTGTAGTGGACATTGGTAAAGCTATTTAAATTATGACTGACTTTTTAAAAATGCTGTTGATAAGACTAAGAACTTGACATTATGGTGAACATATGAATGATGATTAGTAGTTTTAAAAATTGGCCATTTTATGAGAGAATAATTTGTGACATGTATGTTTTTGGTATAAAGTAATGGAAAGTCTTTTTTTTTTTTTTTTGTCTAGGAGAAAGATACTGGCTCATATAAATGGGGCAAAGCTGTCCTTAGCAATTTCTACATCTAGAATGTAAATCTATTAGTACAGTTAGATTTATAAATAGGGAGGAATTCTAAGATATATAAAAAATAACTGCTCATTATAGGCCAAATGTAACAATACTGCTAAGTTTGTGTTCTGATCTGAATAAGTAAAACTCAGATATAGCTTGTCAAGAAATTAACTGAGCACTTAAGTTTATTTCATTTTATTTTAATTAATTAATTTATTTTTAAAGAAAATTACCAGTGTAGGTAGGTAAAAGACCGGTCTGGTTTGGCTGGAATTATGAGGGCTTCCTGGGGCATGAGACTAGAAGAAACAGGGTACGTTACCTCTAAGAGTGCTAAAAGATGAATTATTGCTGGTCCATTGAGTAGATGTTTGATAACAGTGATGTTTAATTTGTTGTTCTTCCTTATCTCTGTAGATCTTAAGTCTAGCTATATTTTAAGGTTCAGTTTAAGTGCCACTTCTTCATAATCTCTCTCTCTTTCTGAATTCACATAACACTTTATCTGTACCATTCTTGTTCCACTTAGTCCTTTAAAACATCTTTATCAGAGTTATCTATATACGAATTTTATCTCTGGCACTACATGGAAAGTTCTTTTAGGGCATGATGTATGATTTATCTTTTATCCCCCATAGCTTCTAGCATGGTGCTCCACACTTATTTTATCAGAAAGGGTGTATTAAAAGGAATGAATGAGTCCACAAGTTAAGTAGATCATACGGATAGGATGAGATGCACCAGTGTGTAATAGAAGGTAAAAAAAAAAAAACAACAAACTACTGGCATGAGTATGAGAAACCCAGCTTTTAGTCCTCGTTACCACTAGATATGTGATTTTGGACAGTTCCCTTAATATTGTGTGTGTGTGTGTGTGTGTATGTGTGTATATGCACATGCATGCTACAGTTTCTTTAGCCAAAACTGAAAATTACAACTAGAACCCTCAGTGCTATCTAATGATGCTATTGAGCATTCACTGTTAGCTGCATCATCCATGTTCTCCAGACCTAATCCAAATTTTCAACCACTCTTGTTGTCCTCTGTACCATATAGCCTCTTCATTTTTGGTAGATCACAACTCCTACTCCACAAAGAAAATCCTCCTGCTGGAAGAACCTTGTTGACTCCACCCTCATATATTGTTATACATTATAAGCAGTACACTGATTATACCTTCTTGACATTCATGTTTAAATCTTTAAGAAGTGAACAGCCATACTTACACGTATTTGTAATTCAAAGTCTTATATATGCATTGCTTGATGAAAGTACAATGTTCTAGATCATTTTGGGGTTAATAGCTTTTGTGTTCTGGGACCCAAGTAAAAATAGATTGCTTTAAAACTACAATTAGTTGTTTTGTACTTAATATGCTTTTAAATGATTTTTATAGGAGAAAAGTTATTATAAAAAGTTTCCTGTTAATTTCTTTGAAAATATAACTGACAGCTCTTAAAAGAACAAATCCATCAGTGTTTTCAAAATTCACATTAAAATATGTAAAAATATTACTTTCATCAATTTTCAATTAAAATGTGATTATTATGCAGACTTTTTACATTTTTATAACCCAGTTTTCTCTTGTTTTTAGCTACTGATGCAAATGTGAAGAATGAAAGTCTTTCATCTGTGCAGCAGCTTGGCATTAAAATGACTGTCAGGTATATTATAGGGAAATATCTCCCTTGCGCATTTCTAGAATTTGTTTATCTTCCTGATATGTGCTTAATAGTATTTAACAACTGACTATTTTGTGTACTTTAAATACAGAGTTTATCATTCAGAAAATAATAATTTTGTTTTGGGGATATTGGCACATGATTAAATTACCTCTGCTGGTAAATCAGTTATGGTTCATTATCATTTCAGAGGCTAATTACAGTGTATTTAAGCCTCTATGACTACAGGTTTTTTCCAAAAAAAAAAAAAAAAAATGCATTGTAAAAATCAGCACATTGGTAGCACAATCATGCCATTTTCTAAAATATAATAGATTTTAATTGTCAAACTATGGTGATGAGTACAAAAGTACCTTAAGGATAGACACTGAAGTTAAAAATGAATAAACCAATTATAGTAGTTTGAATTTTTGGTCTCAAATTGTAATTTTCAAAAGAAATAAGCTAAACAGCAGACTGTGAATTAAGGAGTGAGTCTCCTCTCTTGCTTATTAAATGGGGATCTTAACAGTTCCATCCTACTTCAGTGGGTAATCTTTAGAATCAATTATAAAAAAGATGCATATGGAAACTTTTAAAATGACTATTTTTATAAATTCATAGCATTATAATGAAAAGTGTGATAGTAATTCTGGCTAATCCATCTGTGTCACATAAAGCATGTCACTCATTGTTTTGTGACCCTATATCTGCTTTTTATTTTGTAATGTCCAATTTCTATTCTGGAATGGAATTCATAGATAACATGAGCAAGCTAGTCACATATTTTTAAAATTCAATATAATGTCTTATTGGTAAGAAGTAAATGGAAAGTGATTTGTAATGAAATGTTTGTGCCCAACTACAGTATATGACATAGCTGTCAACCATATAGAATCATTGTGACTTTGGCAGCCACAAATAGAGACTGATGGTGTCTTGGTGCTTCAAATACTGCTCGAGTTTTGCCACTGGCAAAGTGACTTTCCAAAATGGAGAACAAGTCTTAGGCTTCAAACAATGAAAGTACTGTCTTTCCCTGATTTACACATAGTTGCATTCAGTGTATCATAAAAAATATAGAAAAAAATATGATCTTATATAAAGCAGAATTGGTTTCAAATTATTATGAATAGCTTCTTCACCCATGCAAATAACAGGCAAGCCATTTGCAAGTGGTTGTGCAGGACTGTCCCACATCTAACCTCCTGACCATCACTCACCAACTGCCGTTAGTGCCCCCAGTCACTATGCAATCAAAAATGCCCCCATGATATGTTAAGAAAAAAAAAGAAGAAGAAGGTAGCAGGAGGGGAGGAATGAAGCGGGGGAAATCGGAGGGGTGGACGAACCATGAGAGACGATGGACTCTGAAAAACAAACTGAGGGTTCTAGAGGGGAGGG